TTTAGATGTATTTACACACTGTTTAATGCAGCTCTGAGGGACATTGAATACTTTAACCTGCAATTACAAATGCATACAACTAATCTAACCTGCTAGACTTCATCATCTAATGTATGCGCGCACTCTGTAGGTGTGTTTTGTTTGCTTTTCACGATATACTCGATAATATCAAATTGCACATCATTAAAACAACAATTTATAACTGTTTCCCCGGTAATGGCAGAACACAAAGCACTCGTCACATTCATCCATATCGCAATTCTGGTCTTTCTGTCCCCAAATTTAATACCTCTTGAAATCATAATTAATACTTTCTTGTACAATTTAAGACTTTTTAAGGCCTTACATTTGATACAACTAAATTTAAGACTTTTTAAAACTTTAAGACCCGCGGAAACCCTGAAGTCACGCAAATATATCCATTTTGCTGTCAGGAGTGGGCGAGGCTTCCGCGAGAGAACGAGCGCTGCTGCGTGCATGCGCACTAAACAGACAGAGTCAAATATGCATTTTGCTAAAATATTTGTTGTTGGACATTAAATGTGTCTTTTGTAGAATTTTAAACCTACATATAAGTGTATTTTTTATGATAGCAGTAACTGTAAAGTGACTATAGTAATGGGTAAATCAAATGTAAGCTATAGTACAGGACTAATTACTAAGCTCAGATGAGTTAATGTGTGTTTCTTATAGCAGTTAAAATATAGTCATTTTCTTTATTATTTATTTTCATTTTTAATTCAGTGATTTTAACTTTTAATTTAGTTATTTTAATGCTTTAAAGAGCAATTTTATATTGTAATGTTCCAATGTTCTGCTATCTGTTCTGCAAACTATAAAAGTCACAGCTGTCATAAAACCAGAGAGAAAGGCTGCATGGCTAGAAACTGTAAAAAATAAAAAAAATTAAAAGTCAAATAATACCATGTGAGACCGTGGTAATATCATTGTGTTCCTATTGGTCAGTGTTAAAGGAGCTCAGCTTAGCCTGACAGTTAACCTGCATTAGACCAGGTTAGTTTCCCAGCATAAGTTGCTACAGTGACTAAGCTTGATCTAGGTCCATGTTAAATTTGCTTTATGGAACCAAATCATTTGACAATGAATCAGACTAACTGAAATTAGCCTGGCTTATTTGGTAAACTTGTTTTATGAAACAGGCCTCGAGGCATTAAAAGTGATCATATTTTCTTCATTGCATCGTATTGCATCAAATCACATTGTGTTGAATCGAATCGAATCAGAATCAAATCGCACTGCATCGTAACAGGGGTGAATCGTATTGCATCGCATCGGTAGCTGCTTCGTATGTATCTTTAATGTATCGTATCGTTGGCTATGCATCGAGATGCATATCGTATCAGCCTGAGTCATGAGATTCACATCCCTAATATACAGTATATGTATGTATTTATATCTATCTATCTATCTATCTATATATATATATGCATGTGTTTGTGTATGTAACTGTACATACCCGGTCCTGTACCAGTCTGTGGGAATGTGCTCCTGATGCCAACATGGCAGCGAACATAGTGAGCATGTGTTGCTGGACACGGCTGATGCCTGACACCAGACAATTTAGGATGCTGGGTAATCCCACCTTGTCAATCACACTCTGGAAGGCCCCCGCAGATTGGCGTGTTATTTTACACAGAGCCTGGAAGGGCAGATAAACGTAAGACAGGTGGGTGGAGGTGGGTTGAATACAGAATCTTTAATACTGCTGCTTTTTGTTACATAATATTTAATATTTATTTATATAGAGGAACATAAATATGTCATCAAAAGGTTAAGGATCTTTAATACCACTGCAGAGATTAGGCTAAAAAAGGAAACAATTAATCACAGTATCATTAACTATAATTGATTTTAAAAAAACACATGCCCAAAAGTTGATAATTCTTGTACCAAGCCATTATAAAACAAGAGTCATGAATATAGCTGCAAGTGACAATCAACGGGTGTAATAACCAATAATTCACGTGTGCAATTACATGACATAACTGCCATGTATGTTTCCAAATTTACTGTGATTTTACTACAATGGCAACTATTTTGATTCTTCACTGATACAAGTTATAGGCCAATTAGTCACTATAGTCTAAACCTAACAATATTTTGGCCCATATTTGCAGCACAAATAATGATTCAATATTGTTTTGTTAACTTATGACAGGTTTTTAATTACATTGTCCCAATTGAGCAGAATTGCACAATTTCCTGTCCTGAAGGGCAACTGGTCAAAATGAATGGGCAACCCCCTCTCCAAAATTTTATTGACTTATATCTTCATAACACTTAGACAAAAATTATATGGAAAAGAATTTCAATTCTAGACTGTAAACATAAATGGCCTTATTATAGCCTCACCTAGTGTCAGACAAGTGCCTGACAATAAGAGCTGCCCTGAAATACACCCAGGACAGTTGATGGAATTGTCACTGGCTCAATGGGAAAAATAAAATAAAAAAGATGATGAAAAAGGAAATCTTTGTTGCTTGGATCATTGCATTTGCACTGCAACTTTTGTAATAATCTCTCCGAATTTAAACTGAATTGAACAGTGTGCAGAGTTGAACTTTGTGTTGAAACACCCTGTTAAAGTCACGAGAGTGTGTGTTTAATACTCACAGATATAGCGCTGATCCTGAGTGCATCCACTGTGGAGTGTGTGAACAGATACCAGAGTGCAGGTCCCACCTCTGCAATGATGAATCCCTGAGCGTATTGAGACTCACGGCTGCACACGTTCTCTATGGTTTTGGCAGCCATGTGGTTTACCACCAACTCCTCCTGAGAAACATGAATCCCCCATAATTCATTAATATCCAGCTATGGATAACAATAACAATATGCACAAAATTTGCAGAGGTCTGCCAACATTCATTAAATTACATTTACATTTAGTCATTTAGCAGATGCTTTTATACAAGCGACTTACAAATGAGGACAATAAAAGCAGTCAAAACTAACAAATGAGCAACAATATATAAGTGCAAATGACAAGTCTCGGTTAGCCTAACGCAGCGTAGCAAGGTATGTATATATATATATATTATTTTTTTTAATGTATGCATTTAGCAGACGCTTTTATCCAAAGCGACTTACAGTGCATTCAGGCTATACATTTTTTACCAGTATGTGTGTTCCCTGGGAATTGAACCCACATCCTTTTGCTCTGCTAACGCAATGCTCTACCACTGAGCCACAGGAACAATATATATATATATATATGTATTATATACACACACAAAGAATAACAAGTAGATAGAATAGAAAAAATAGAAAGCTAGTGTTTTTTTTAAATAAAAAAAGAAGATACATAGATAAAGTAGAATTAAAATAGAATAGAAAGTGCTAGAGTTAGAGGGTGAAATAAAGATCCAACAGGTGTGTTTTTAGTCGTTTCTTGAAGATGGTTAAGGACTCAGCTGCTCGGATTGAGTTGGGCAGGTCATTCCACCAGGAGGGAACAGTTAATGTAAAAGTCCGTGAAAGTGATTTTGTGCCTCTTTGAGATGGCACAATAATGCGTCGTTCACTTGCAGAACGGCACAAGTCTGAAGTAATGAATTTAGGTAATTGGGTGCAGAGCCAGTGGTGGTTTTGTAGGCAAACATTAATGCCTTGAATTTAATGCGAGCAGCTACTGGTAGCCAGTGCAAATTGATGAACAGAGGTGTGACATGCGTTCTTTTCGGCTCATTAAAGATTAATCTTGCAGCGGCATTTTGGATTAATTGTAGAGGTTTGATAGAAGTGGCTGGAAGACCTACCAAGAGAGCATTGCAATAGTCCAGCCTGGACAGAACAAGAGCTTGAACAAGGAGTTGTGTTGTTAACATTCACGGTATTACCAAGCACCTGCTATGCCCCCAAATGAAAAATGTCACATTTTATATAATAACCCCACTAAAAAAGTAAATAGTAAATAAAAAAGTAAATAGTAACTTACTAAATAAAACAGGTAACACTTTAGTTTAGGGACTAATTCTCAATATTAATTACTTGCTTATTAGCATACATATTAGCATTTTGGCTGTTTATTAGTACTTATAAAGTGCTAATGCTTTATTCTACATCACCCTCAATTTTACCCCACACCTAAACATAACAACTACGTTACTAGCTTTATCTATAGTTTGAGTCATAGTTAATAGTTAGTTAATAGAACTGGTCCCCAAACTAAAGTGTGACCATAAATCAAACTCACTTAATAAATTTTTTTAAAACACCGGTTTTAATGTGAACAATTCATCAGTCCACATTATACCAAAGGAAAAAAAAATCCCTTTACAAGTTTGGCTAATGTTAGTTAATGAATTAACAATACATCGGAGCAATACATTTGTTACAGTATGTATTCATCTCTGTTAAAGTTAGATTAAAAAAAAAAAGCAATATTAGTTCATGTTAGCTCAGGTCCAGTAAATAATATTAACAGATACAACATCTGATTTAAAAAATGTATTAGTAGATTATAAACATGAAATTAACATTTACTACATTGAGGAAAAATATATGGTGTGGGATTTTCTTAGATTTATTTTCACTCAGAAATAGCTAATAATTTTCAAGTAATTACAAATAGACAGCAAGTAAAAAATATCCTTTTTGGTTGATGTTATGAGGACCTCCTAGTTTTCAACTATTTCCCTATATCCACCTCCACCATTCTATTATGTAACATCCACTTTTCACAATCCAAACATTTCTCAAAAGCTAAAATCAAGCCCCATTAACATCAGATTACATAAGTAAAGTATATTGGGTGGCTAACAGCATTGCATGCAGACTTTAAACGCATTCGTGCTCTGAAAAACGTGTACGTTTTAGTGAATCTAATGTACAGGCTGCAGCATTAAGTATTACACTCAAAGACATGCAATCTTTAATTCATTTGTAAGTGGGACACACAGACCTTTACAAATTTCACGCAATTACATCATGACCTAATAGTCCCTCAACACCCTCTGAACTTGAGTGAAATAATTTCCTTAAATTTCACACCACAGCGAATCTTGCTCACAGATAACGAAGGGCAATACGTAGAGATTTAGCTGGCTGTGTTTTTATGTATTTGGACCCCTGTCCTTCAGCGTGTCTCTCTGCAACCGTATCTGGTGGAAATTAAACATTTAACAGCATTCAACAAACGGCAGGCACGCAGAGTCGAGTGAGGAAAATAGCAAATGGAGGGTTGGGCATATCTTAGAGGCGCAGTTACACTGTGCACTGCTGCTATGCAATATGGATGCCTTCACTGTAATGTAGTTCCTAGACCCCCGTCTCAAAGCTAAAAGAAAGTTCAGCTTAGTCCATGGAAGAGGTGCATTAATACACATACTGTATCTTGGAGGCAAAAAGTAGAAAGAACTCTCAAGTAGAATGTTCTGATGCAACACAAATAACATAGCAGCTACTCCAGAGTCCCTGGCCCTATCGTATCTATTTGTGCTGGAGTCTGGTGGTCTGGCTTTGTGGAGGCTTTAGGTAATAAACTAGAGCTGGCACTCACTGGAGAAGGGGAAATGACTGACAGCTGCTACAGGGCGCAAGGGGGGGGGGGGGGGGGGGGGGGGGGGGGGGGGGGGGGGGGGGGGGTGCTGAGCGCTTTCTTTCTTTTTTCTCTTGTAGCACAAGCCTTGTCAAAAAGGCATAGAAAATGAAACTAAAATCCACCAGCCTGAGGTTTCTCAATAAGAATTTAAATTCCACAGGACAAATACGCTCCGTTGTAGGCGAGTTTGTGCTTTTTCAAATATACACAGCTAGTCCATTTCCACTGAGGTCTGAGTAAGATGCTTTAGGGATCATCTGACTGCGGTCGAGGGGAGGGTGTCTTGTAGACTGCCCTGACTAGACGCACTAGAAATTACCCAAAACTAAACACAGCAATTTCTCATTTGTCTACATGCGCACCCACATTTGCGCTCTCGTTGTGACCAGGCCAAGCAGACAGCACCATCCAGTGCAACTCCATTACCTGACCAGCCAAGGCTCCATTTACACTAGTGCATTTTAGTTTTAAAACACATAACTTTTGCTACGGTTACGCCTGTCGTTTACACTACTCCACCGTTTTCGACCCTCGAAAATTGAGACTTTTGAAAACGCTGTTTGACAATGATGGCGTGGCTGCCCACATTCTCTCTGCGTATCCTTGACGACTGTCTAAACAATAACATCATTCTGTTGTACCCATAGATATGTATAGGTAGATTGCTCATTCGACCGCTCCAAGCACGCAGACGCGTCCGCGATCTAAATAATAGGGAATCTACCTATACACATCTATGGTTGTATCTGCATGAATGGTCATGCGACATGCGTTTTCGGTTGTGTAGGTTAGACAGAGATAGTTTCTGAAATGTAACCCTTACTGTATACCGATTACTGAAAATTACTGAAATGACAGATTACTGTAATTCCCTTTATATGGGTATTAATCAAGCATCTCTTAATCGACTTCAAATGGTACAAAATGCTGCTGCTAGGCTCCTTACTGGTGTGTGTAAATGAGAGCACATTACCCCAGTATTAATATTAGGGTTGCACCGATACCACTTTTTCCAGTACTCGCCCGATACCGATACTTTTATTTTTGGTACTTGCCGATACCAAGTACCGATACCGATATTTCTATTGCATTTGTAAATGTTTTATGTCTGTGAGAAAGGCATATTCACTCGACAAGCTCGCGCATCTGTTACAGCTCTGTTCTGTGCTGTAATTTATGTTGTTCTGAGTGTTAATTTTGTTGATATTTGATTGATTGTACAGCACCTTGGTCAACAATCGTTGTTTTTATTGGTGCTATATAAATAAAGTTGAGTTGAGTTGAGTCTGAAACGCAGTGAAAACACCAGTGTAGATGAGGATCATTTTCATTTTAAAACACCATTTTAAAACGAAAACGCACTACTGTGAACAGGGCGTAAGACTCTAAACTCATTAACTATGTTTCCATCCACCTATTTTTATGCAAATTTTGGGATATCGCAGAAAAAAAAATACTGGATGGAAATGCCACAATGGACATAAATTCTAAAAATGTGCAAAAAAAAAAAAAATGTATGTGCTCAAATGAGTTCATCCAATAAGAAGAGATATGAAAAAACTATGATGGAAACATTTATTGCATTTGTAAATGCATATCAAAAAAGTCCAAATCTGTCATCAAAATGATTTGGTATAGACCTTATGTAGCACTGGTACTGACCCTTTTCAGTGCTGTGCTCATTGTCTTCTGTCTTCCGTTTGTACTCCCACAACATGAAGATAAGTTTGTACGAATTTATGAATTAACCTCTCGTTTTAAAATCTTTCTGGTCTACTGACATTTGTTTTGGCATCCACTTCGAAAATTACAATGCACATGAATTCTACAATTAGTAAATCCACTTCACCAGCTAATTACTCTTCAACAGTGATGTTATAGAGCTACTGCAAAAAACGGAAGTTCGAAGGCATTCTAAAGATCACTGCACACCTGTTTCTCTGATGCATAAGGTCTATAAGTGCTAAGGTCATCCATTCATTGGTTCATCCATTCAACCGTACCAGAGTTCGTTTGGAACCGGACCGAGACCACCTCTTCAGCTGGGTCTTGGTACGGTTGTTTGGTCCGCACCTGAGTGCGACTGCTGTATTCACACCAGCCCAAAAGATCCACACCAAAGGGGGAAACGAACTTGAGTTTGATTCAATCAAACCAAACAAGACAGGTGTGAATACACCCTAACTCATGAAGTTTTAGACTGTTTCATGAATCCTTCTGACTGGCTCAACTG